AAAAAAATGAACTGAGATGGTGGGTTTATTTTCCTCTTTTAATAGTCTTCTCCCTTGGTAGGGCCCGAGGTGATTTGTTTTGGTTTTATATTGTGCTGTGATCCACCTCATAAAGCCCACAAATCTCTCATCATTTTTTCTGCCAGGCTAGGCCAGAAGTCTCTACAGAGGTTCCAAGTCTCATGCTTGTTCCTGTACTTAATGAGGTGTAGGATGGTCTCAGGGGACCCCTTGGAATGTGGGAAACGAGTTCATTTTTTCAAAACACATCGCTTTAGGGGTACTACCACCTTTCAAATCTCCTTCTGTCTTTTAGGACTGACAAGAAACCCTTCTAAACTGACTTTTTAAAATTATTTTTTAAATATGTTGTAACAAGACTCCCAAAATTTTTTTCCCAGAAAGTATAGTGTTTCTTCCTTCTCCATATCCATCAAAGGATTTCCCATTCCAGTGTCACAGTGGGTTCCACGAGCATTTTAATGATCCAGCTGTTTTCCCTTTTCTGATACACTGCAGTTTTCTACAAGTTACTGAATAATCTCATTAAGCCCTTCCAATCAGCTTGAGCATGCTTCACCTTCTTTTGAGGCAGCTTAAAAGTACCCATTATTAAAAGGCAAAAATTCTTCTAACTGCATGAAGGAAAAGACTGCAAAAGGAAGTGCAGGATAAAGTTATTTTTATATCATAGCCACACTACAGTGAAAAAGTCTAAAATACCTCACAAATATTTAATTCACGTTTTATTATCATTATTTCAGAGTTATGTTCAATTCTAAACTCCAAACTTTAGGAGGCGTGTGGAGAACTTAAACTGTCCATACATTACTAAAATACTAGCAATAAACATCATATATGAAGAATGCATATTTTTCAAAACACCTTTACATACACTATTCTATTTGATTTTCAGGACAATCAAATGGATATGACTATATCCATTTCGCAGAGAAAGAAACTGAGTCACAGATAATTTATTTCATTTTTATTTAAATTTATTTATTCATTTTTATATAGTTGATGAATTCACATTATTCAAAATTCCAAAAGTACATAAAGGTGTATGGTGAAAAAAACTCCCCTCCACTTCTCACCTCTATCCACCCAATTTCCCTTCCTAGAGGAAACTGCTATTTCTTATTTCTAACATATATCCTCCTGGAGATATTGTATGCTTAGTACAGATGGCTATACATGATTTTTCTTCTTTTTATATAATATGTTAATATAGTCATTGTTCTGAACCCAGATTTTTTAAACTTAATATATCCTGGAGATCTTTCATATGAGTATATAGTGAATTTCCACTTTGTTTATGACTTCTTAATATTTGATTGTATAAACTTATATTTTATTTAAACAGTTTTACATTGATGTATTTTTTTTCTTTTAAGAGGCAAGGTCTCACTCTGTTATCCAGGCTGGAGTGCAGTTGTGTGATCATAGCTCACTGCAGCACCAAACCCCTGGGCTCAAGGAATCCTCCCATCTCAGCCTCCTGAGCAGGTGGAACTTCAGGCATGTGCCACCATGCCCAGCTAATTTTAAAAATTTTTTGTAGAGATGAGGTATTACTATGTTGCCCAGGCTTCTCTCAAGTGATCCTGCCACCTTGGCCTCCCAAAGTTCTGGGATTACAGGTGTGGGCCACCATGCCAGCCTGTTGAATCATTTCTGTGTTAGAGTTGTAGGGTCAAAAAATATGTGCATTTAAAATTTTGAGAAGTATTGTGAAATTTTCTCCAAGATTAGACAGAGATTTTAGGTGACATAGCCAAGACTGAATAGCTAATTTTTAATGGATGTAAAGTTACAACAAATGTTTTCTAGCCAGTAAAATAGGGGATGTGAAGAATGGCATAATTGTGTATTTTAGGGGCCACTAATCCTTTGTGAAATAGATTTAATTGAGGCATCTGCAAGAGAAGAGAGGAGTTACCTCTCTTGTTGATTCCATTGTTCTTCATTGCCTTCTGTATTTTGCTCCCTGAACCCTAGGGCCAAGTGATGAATTAACTTCAGCAGGCCTAGATGAGTTTACCTCCCGTCAGCCCTTCCTTGTCATAGACTACTGAGATGTGGGCTCCTCTGCCTGCACCGAAAAGTTGAAGTCTTAACGTCATCTACCTCAATAAAATAGAAGGATAAGAAGAGAAGGGGAATTAACTGATGAAGACTTTCAAAGATATTAAAAAGGTCATCAACATACTCTACTGGCAAGTTATACCTCTGTACAACGCTTGCGAGCCCGATAAGCCGCTGTCCATGGTGCTGACAACATCCCTATGGCCTGAGGCATGATTGCTTTTCCTATTTCTAGGGCATTAGGAATCTTACACAAACTCTCCTAGGCATTCTGAACCAGGGGAGAAAGGAGGAAACAAAGGAAAACAAGAGGGGCAAAGGGACAAGGGCTACTTAGAGAGGCAGAATATTTGTGAGGTTGGATAAAGAAGAGAGATTTGTCTAGGACTGGTATTGTTTACAAATCATCATAGATACTAGCGTATAATTCTGCCCCCTTCATGATGAGAAGAGGGTCATATGTACTTTACTTTATGCTTTCCATTTGTTATATGCATATTCCCTGAGGGTTTAAAGAAAAATACGGTTATAAAAAGGACGATGGAAAGAGTTATGTGGAATTCCTTGAGTGGACAATTTTAGGAATAAGATGGATTGCCATCTGCCTGAGCCGGTTTAACTGTAATTCCGCCAAAGGCTGGAAATAGACTGGATAACCTCCTGAGACCCTCACAATATTTGAAGTTAGGACTTCAATGAAAACATTCATCCTACTCTTGCTCTTTATCTCTGTTTGAGCTTCAGAGCACACTGGATTTAAACTAAAGTAACATCACAGGCTATACTGATTATTTTGTCTTATCTAAAGTCAGTTGCATTCAAGTGTTGTCTTAATACACACGAGAAGTTAATAACTTTTTCAACCTGTCACTACTTTCCCTAGCAGCACAAGAAGATAATACAGAATGTGAATTCAATAAATTCCATTTACTCCTCAGTGCTGTGCTGGAACCAAACAATCTTCCATTCACACGATTAAGTCTGAAAAATATTTATATTTTGGCATAAAAAAAGAAACATTTGAATTTATATAAAGTTTAAGTATAAAAATATAACTGTGGGCCAGGCGTGGTGGCTCATGCCTGTCATCCCATCACTTTGGGAGGTTAAGGTGGGTGGATCTCCTGAGGTCAGGAGTTCGAGACCAGCCTGACCAACATGACAAAACCCTGTCCCTACTAAAAATACGAGAATTAGCTGGGTGTGGTGGCACATGCCTGTAGCCCCAGCTACTCGGGAGGCTGAGGCAGGAGAATCGCTTGAACCCAGGAGGCGGAGGTTGCAGTGAGCTGAGATTGCACCACGGCACTCCAGCCTGGGCAACAGAGAAAGACTCTTTGCCAAGAAAACAAAACAAAACAAAAACAAACAAATAAGACCTGTATTTACATTTTTTATACTTGGTTTTGTTTTTATTTTTTAAATGGTAGATTTTCAAATTGGAGAGAACATATAATATTGGAGATTAGGCCAGAGATTTCATAAGTTCTAGAATGTATCTTTCAATATTTTAAATGGCCTCATTGGCAATGCAGTTGGCTTTGTAGACCTGGCTGTTATTGTAATTATTGTCGCTATAGGGATACATCGGTTTCAAGTTGTCTGGGCTTGGGGTGCACTTATCTATGAGCAATAAAGCAACATCCAGATGTCAGGTCACCAGACATAGTCCTCAGAGGCCCCTATTAGTGTATTCGCCTTCATATAGGGTGAGATCTACCCACAGGTCATGGGGAAGGGAATCTATTCTCCCCAAGGGTTATCTAATTCTGCCTGTGGGCACTGACTCATAATGCATCTGATATTCTAAACTTAAGGAGTCTCTTCACATTCTGTTAAATTTCTCTATTTCAGAGCTGTGACTTAGCTCCAATGTAAAATCCATGTGAGAAAAAGAAACATTTAAGGAAAATGGTATTGTCCTTTCTTATAGATCATTGGTTCGCAACATTTTTTCCTTACATGCAGCTAACAGAACGACCATTTCTCATTACACTGCAGTGATTCTCCACCAAAGTCTGAGTGGGAAAGGCAGAAGGGCAAGTCTCTTTCTGCTCTACCCAGAGAGGCTTATCAAAATGGGGGAAGGGTGAACTCTATAAAGCTCTGCAATTTCCAGTATGTCCTCCTGGCTTGATAGCTTCCATATGTCCTTTCTTCATCCTTTCTCTGCACCAGAAGGCTAACAAGCACCACCAGACTCCCTGTGCCTGCCCTTAGCTTCTAGTTGAATTCAGTCAATGAAAAGTACCAGCAAGAGATCAGAGGGAGTGGGTGGAAAGTTAAAGGTATTTATTTCCTTGGCTCTCTGTGGGGGTACCACAGGCTGGATTCATCTCTTGACTAAAAGTCACTACTCCTGTCCAAGAGCCTTCTCTGCTCAGTCTCTGTCTCCAAGTTCTCTTCTGGTGATGGCATCTTCTCTTTATCCCTTTCAAACCTAGGAGAGTAACAGTATCCCTTGTTACTAGCCCCACAGAACTGCACAATTCCTTATGGTTTCCCTGCATCCTACATATATCTTTGTAAAGAGTCCCTTTATCAACTCAAATTACCTTCTCTTTCCTGCAAGGATCCTCACTAATACAATCTCCACCTCCCATCCCCCTCAAAAAACAAAACAAAACAAAAAAACCTTACTCTGTAAAATCTAAATACTACAATTTAGGCTTTTGTTGAAGAAAAATATATAAATTACCTATATGAATAATATTTATCTATCTTTCAGAAACCATGGTTAAATATGTGGCTCAATATTTCTTGTATAATTAACTACATGATAGTTTTGAAGTTAAATATTTTTAAAACTTAAAATATTTTATCCCAAGGAACTTATCTCTCTGTTTGCAAATAATGAGAATTCTCTAGTTTATAGCCTATAACCTATGCCATCATAGCTTGACTACTAGGAAGCTTACAGAGAAATTTATACATAAGTCAGGGTAAAACATTAGCTTAGATTTTGCTCTACTTATTTCTCCTTCCTTCGATATAGAATTTAATGTTCTATTTTCATTTTAATGGTCATGTTAAACATGTCTTTAATTCCAACTGTTTTGAAGTTAGAAAGTCCATATGTCACACATAAATGTTTGTTATACTTCTTAATGATTATTCATTGTGTTCCCAGTTATATTGATGTGGAACATTTTTTTTTCCAAGCCAAACTGTATCCAGCTTTATTAAAGATACTTTCCATAAACGATCATGGTATTTCAGGCAGGACATGGGCAGACAATCATTAACAGTATACAACTTTCAAACTCCCTTCTTCAATGGACTACCAAAAATCAGAAAGCCACTATAAAAACCAATGAAGTCTTCATCTGACGCTCTGAACAGGGAACGTTTAGAGTGAGGGTCGACATTTCACATTTAGCATGTTTTTAACAACTTTTCACAAGCCAACCCTGACTTTCAGAAAGTGAAATGAAAATGGCAGAATTTATGTGAAGATCCACCAACTAGAAATGGAACCACTGCCCCTTTTGACAGATGCCATCTCAGCAGCATCACTGGAAAGTCCAGATTGCCTGACACACTGGTAAGCAATGACTGGGGGTCAGGTCCCAACAGATGTCTGGGCTTAAGGGAGTTAGGTCTATGCTGAAAAATAGAAAGGGAGAAGCGGACATAAAAACGAATTTGTTTTTCCATACCACGAGGCTTTTGTGCCAAGAGGCCACGCGTGTCAAAGTCAGGGAATCCCTTCTCCTGGGAGCCAAGAGGAAGTCTCTCAAAACCAGAAGGGAAAGGCGTTTTCCTGACATCAATCCAGCTTCAGAGACATTCTGTTAGTGACATATGCCCCTTCCCCCAAAAACAACAATGAGGTGTTCTGTATGCTAACAATATAGCTTAAAAAAAAAAAAAGTAAAACAAAATTCTGCAGTTTTACAAAACTTGATAAAAAATAGTATTTCAAACTGTGCAGTCACCATAAGCACACAGTTATCAAAAATCCACACACTTCACTTGGCCTCTCCAGAACCTTCTGCTTTCTGTGCCTGGTCTGTTTTGGCATCTCCATTTTCTGCAGGGTTATTCCTCTCCTTGCCAGCATCAGCTTTTCCCTTTTTCCCTTTGGATACCTTCTCTCTCTTCTTTGCAGGAGCCTTTTCAGGCTTGGGCTCTGGCTTTGGAGGAGCAGGTTTAGCAGACAGCCTCGCAGATCTTCTCTGTGGTTCATCTTTCCCTTTGGCTTTATCTCCTTTAGCATCCCCTTCAGCCTTTCTCTTGGGCATGCTGGCGTCGACAGTGGCAGGACATAGGCTCTGGATGCAGGATGCAGCACCGAGCGGGTTTGGTCTGTCCAAGGGTCGTTCTAGCCTATTCTTCTTCTTCCAATGTGGGACTTTTTTTTACACTTGAAAAAAGACTCAGCAATAAGGCTCTTCCTATAAGCCAACACTCTAGTCAAAAATTTTCTTTGAAAAAGAAGTCTAAATCGAAATAAAATAGGCGTGTCAGTCAAACATTTGACTGACACCTCTGATTAATTGAAGTTTTTGTTTCTTCATTAACCATCTATTTTTAATTTTTTAAAAGCACACTAACTTAAAAAGCTGTTTCTAGGGCGGGTGCAGTGGCTCATGCCTGTAATTCCAGCACTTTGGGAGGCTAAGCCAGGCGGATCATCTGAGGTCAGGAGTTCGAGACCAGTCAGGCCAACGTGGTGAAACCTTGTCTCTACTAAAAATACAAAAATTAGCCGACCATGATGGTGGCTGCCTGTGAACCCAGCTACTCAGAAGGCTGAGGCAGGAGAATCACTTGAACCTGAGAGGCAGAGTTTGCAGTGAACCAAGATTGTACCACTGCACTCCAGCCTGGGTGACAGAGTGAGACTCTGTCAAAAAAAAAAAAAAAAGCTGTTTATAGTGTCCAAACAATATAGACCTACTACTTTATGGTAGAAACCTAACCTGATGATCATGAAAACTTAATAAGAACTTTCACATTTCCCTTGTTACTTTTAAAAATCAGATACAAAAAGTCACCTTTAAGAGCCTTCTTAATGAAAACATCAATAGTCTCAAACTGATGACTCTTTAACTGTAACACACTCATTCCCTGGAACATCCTCACCCTTGACATTGGGTGGGCATATGGTATATATTCCATAAATGCTTACTGAATTGAGAAAGGAAATTTATATACATGTATTGAGAAGCGTTTTCAGAAAATGCAACCCTAAAAAACCCATCCTTTAAGTGATTTACATTGCATTTCTGATTACACTTTTTTTTCGTTTTTTGTTTGTTTGTTTTGTTTTTTTTGAGATGCAGTTTCGCTCTTGTAGCCCAGGCTGGAGTGTAATGGCGCAATCTCAGCTCACCACAACCTCCAACTCCCAGGTTCAAGAGATCCTTCTGCCTCAGCCTCCCGAGTAGCTGGGATTACAGGTGTGCGCCATGATGCCCAGCTAATTTTGTATTTTTAGTAGAGACAGCGTTTCTCCATGTTGGTCAGGCTGTTCTTGAACTCCCGACCTCATATGATCCACCCACTTCGGCCTCCCAAAGTGCTGGGATTACAGGCGTGAGCCACCGGGCCCGGCCTCTTCCACTTTTCTTGTTTCAGCACGGCCGTTGAATTTCCCTCCTCCCATCTGAGAGCATGTGTTCCTGTTTCTTTAGTTGCTTCATAGGGCCTTTACCATTCCTTCTCCTACTTGTAATAGAGCTAACAATTGAGCTAGTTTGGCCAGGCACAGTGGCTTATGCCTGTAGTCCCAACACTTTGGGAGGCCAAGGCGGGCAGATCACTTGAGGTCAGGAGTTCGAGACCAGCCTGGCCAACATGGTGAAACCCCATCTCCACTAAAAATACAAAAATTGGCAGATGTGATGGTGCGTGCCTGTAGTCCCAGCTACTCAGGAGGCTGAGGCAGGAGAATTGCTTGAACCTGAGAGGCAGAGGATGTAGTGAGCCGAGATTGTGCCGAGCACTCCAGCCTGGGTGACAGAGCAAGACTTTGAGACTTCAGCTCAAAAAAAAAAAAAAAAACATTGAGCTAGTTAGAGATACAAACATCCAGAATCAGGATGTATCAGTCGCACCATCTCCTCTTCACCATCTCGTACAGTACTCCCCTGAGAAGATACTTGCTTATATATATTGTTTTTAAACTCTGATTTTGGCTTCACTGGCTTACTAACTTCATTTTCTGTGGATGATTTTCTTAAGATACTATGTATTTTTTAAAAAGTGTTTGTTGGCCAGGCCAGTGGCTCACACCTGTAATCCCAGCATTTTGGGAGGCCGAGGCGGGCAGATCACATGAGGTCAGGAGTTCGAGACCAGCCTGACCAACATGGAGAAACCCCATCTCCACTAAAAATACAAAATTAGCTGGGCATCATGGCGCATGCCTGTAGTCCCAGCTACTCAGGAGGCTGAGGCAGGAGGATCGCTTGAACCCGGGAGGTGGAGGTTGTGGTGAGCTGAGATCACGCCATTGCACTTCAGCCTAGGCAAGAAGAGCAAAACTCTGTCTCAAAAAAAAAAAGTTTGTTGATTAACAGTTTGTTAAAATCATAAATGTAATGTAAGTCACTTAAAGGATGGATTTTTTTAGGGATGCATTTTCTGAAAACACTTCTCAATACATGTATATAAATTTCCTTTCTCAATTGTGTAAGCATTTAGAGACCATCCTGGCCAACATGGTGAAACCCTGTCTCTATTAAAAATACAAAAAAAAATTAGCTCAGCATGCTGGCGTATGCCTGTAGTCCCAGCTACTCGGGAGGCTGAGATGGGAGAATCGCTTGAACTGGGGAGGTGGAGTTTACAGTGAGCCGAGCTCTCGCCAATGCACTCCAACCTGGTAACAGAGTGAGACTCCATCTCAAAAAAAAAAAAAAAAAACTGGAAGATTGGCTGGGCACGGTGGCTCACACCTGTAATCCCAGCACTTTGGGAGGCTGGGGCAGTTGGATTACCTGAGGTCAGGAGTTCAAGACCAGCCTAGCCAACATGGTGAAACCCCGTCTCTACTAAAAGTAGAAAAATTAGCTGGGCATGGTGGCGGGCACCTGTAGTCCTGGCTACTCAGGAGGCTGAAGCAGGAGAATTGCTTGAACCCGGGAGGCAGAGGTTGCAGTGAGCCAGGATTGTGCCACTGTACTCCAGCCTGGGCAACATAGTGAGACTCTGTCTCATAAAAAAGAAAAAAAAGTCAGAGACAAATATGTACCCTTTATAAACAGGCAAAAACTAAACAATATGTGATTAAATTATTAAGAACAGCAGGGGAATTATTATTACAAAATATAGATAGTGGTAAATACAGATAGTAATACAAACATGATTCACTGCAGCCTCAACCTCCTGGGCTCAAGCAATCCTCCCACCTCAGTCTTCCACGTAGCTGGGACTACAGGCGCATGCCCGCATATCTGGCCAATTTTTAAATTTTTTGTAGAGACAGGTGTCAACATATTGCCAAGGCTGGTCTTGAACTCCTGGACTCAAGCGGTCCTCCCACGTCCACCTTTCAAAGTGCTGGGATTACAGACACGAGCCACTGTGCCCGGCCTCATGCTGCACTTTCTAACTATGCTGGTAATAATAATAATGTTAGTAATGAGGATGATGATAAAAATGACTAGCATGTGTTCCATGTTCACAATCTACCACTCACAGGTCTACATGCTCTAGACTCACAGCAAGCCCTGTGCTGTTACCTAGTGTGCCTTACATTACTTAACTAGTAACTGGTGGAGTGGAGGTTCTGACAAAGGAAGTCTGGCTCCAGAGCACACGTTCTTAATCGCAGCACTCTGTTCTTCTGGACACTCTTGTATTAATTTTCTGAGCCTGCAATAACAAACTACCACTGACTTAGTGGCTTTAAAACAACAGAAATTTATTCTGTCACAGTTACAGAGGCTAAAAATACAAAATCCAGTAGGGCCATGCTCTCTCCAGGGGCTGTAAGGGAAAATTCTTCCTCACCTCTTCCAGCTGCTGGTAGGTTCTTTGGCATTTCTTTATTTTTTTCCTTTGAGATGGAGTCTTGCACTGTTGCCCAGGCTGGAGTGCAATGGTGCAATCTCCGTTCACTGCAGCCTCCACTACTCGGGTTCAAGTGATTCTCCTGCCTCAGCCTCCCCATGTAGCTGGGATTACAGGCACCCGCCACTATGCCTGATTAATTTTTTGTTGTTGTATTTTTAGTAGAGACAGGGTTTCACCATGTTGGCCAGGCTGGTCTCAAACTCCTGGCCTCAGGAGATCCACCTGCCTCAGCCTCCCAAAGTGCAGAGATTACAGGCATGAGCCACTGCGCCTGGCCTGCCCTGGCATTTCTGCTTAGGCTGTGGCTGCATCATTTCAACCTCTGCCTCTGTCTCTATATGGCCTTCTCCTGTGTATGTGTAATCTCCATGTGTCTCACCCTTGTCACCGGACTTGGGACTCATCTGGATAATCTAAGACAAGTTTCTCTTCTCAAAAAACCTTAACTTGCCAGATGCGGTAGCTCATGCCTGTAATCCTAGCATTTTGGGAGGCCAAGGCAAGAGGATCGTTTGAGCTCAGGAGTTCGAGACCAGCCTGGGCAACACATGGAAACCCTGTCTCTACAAAAAAATACAACAGTTAGCCAGGCACAGTGGCTCACGCCTATGGTCCCAGCTACTTGTGGGACTGGGACAAGAGGATCGCTTGAGCCTGGAGGGTGGAGATTACAATGAGCGGAGATTGTGCCACTGCACTCCAGCCTGGGTGACAAAGTGAGTCCCTGTCTCAAAAAAAAAAAAAAAATCCTTAACGTAAACACCTTTTTTGTCATAAGAGATACTATCCACTCTTTAACTATATAAGTATATTTACATGTTCTGGGCATTCGGATGCGGACATATCTTTTGGGAACCACCATTCAACGCATAAAACTATAAAAAATCAACTGACTTTTGGATATTCCATATAAACCCAGCAAACTGGCTGTATTTTCCTATCAGCTCCAATAAATGTCTGTTGATTCTTTTGAGTTTTCATTCTAGTCAATCACGTCACGTCATCTGTGAATTAGCTAAAACTGCTTTTTTTTTTTGGTGGAGATTCCGTATTTTATTGTGCATGCTACCCTATTATCATAATTGTCATCACAAACAACAAATGTTTAGTGAGTGTTTACTTGGTAAAAATCACTGTACTCGATAATATGGGGATCAAAAGGATGAAAAGGACATAGTCTTGGCCCTCTCAAAAGCATAATAACTGAGATACGGTTCATATACATGAAAAAATCACCATTAAGCAAAAGGGAACAAGGTTGCAATTACCTTTGCAGTGTGAGTCTTCACTTAAAATAACTGCTTTTCAGCCAGGCGTGGTGCCTCATGCCTGTAATCCCAGCACTTTGAGAGGCCGAGGCCGCCGGACCACCTGAGGTCAGGCGTTAGAGATCAGCCTGGCCAAAATG